AGGCTCCCGGGCAGAGCCTCTCCTTGCCTTCCTCCTGCCCTCACCAGGGACCGGGGGATGAGGAAAGCTGCAATCCATGGGAAGACCTTTCCTATGGATTCGCAGAGCTAAACAGCTCAGGACAACCCCAGCGCAGGGTCTGGGAGCGACTCCCACCGCAGCAGCCCCAACCCCAGCCCCGACTGCTGCGTGCGCCCCTGCCCTGCCACGTCCCCCGGCTGCACCCTGCCGCTGGGCTGCAAACCGATAAACCCCCGATCCCCGCGCTGCCAGCAATTCGCGGGGAACTGCCGAAGAAACGCTGCCCCTAAAAGCAAGGAAAGGCTGTCCATAGCGGCTGGTTCCCCTCCCGCCACAACAGGTGGCTGGGTTTTTTTTTAGCAGCACACAAAACACAGGCTTGTATTTACACGTTTCTCCCCATTTTCATGTGCAGGCTCACGGCTTTACCAAACTTTCCTGTTCCAGCTGAATTTGCTGGTTCTGGGGTTGTTGCTTGGCTACAGGCTGTGCAAACAGGCCATCCTTGCCCCTCGCTGCTCCCAGGCATCGCCTGGCCCCGTCCCCGGCGGGAAGGACTGCGTCAGCTCCCGGGGAGGGGGCCAGGCACCACGGGGAAGCGCAGCAGCCCAACGCCATGCACTAAAACCAGCGCGGCGTACTCAGTATCCAGGGTATCCTTACCTTGTTGTCAACATCGCACGGCTCAAAAGCTAGACTGGCATTTTCCACAGTGATGCATCTTGCCATGGCTATGTTAACAAGCTGGAAAATAGCAACAAAATGCAAATTTAGACATAAATTCCCAAGAAAGAGGAGAGGTTGTTACACTGCAGTTAACCTGCCGGATTCACAGGATACTGATTAATACTGTCCACTTAACCAAACGAAGCAGAGATGATGTGTCATAAGTCATTGGAGGGGTGCGTAAATGTGTATCTGGTCCATTACACATATTTTTCTACCGAAAGAAGTCTGAAACTAGCCCTTTCCAGAAATGTTCAAGGCTGGATAAGACATGTTCTTTTCTGGGTTTTTTTTGGACGCAGCTCATGTTCCTGTTCTGCAAATCCCCAGAACAACAGCTCCCAACAATAACAACCGCAGAATCCCTTCCCGTTGCCACATGGTGAAGGAGGCGAGCAGCCACCGCAGGCGGCTGACACAAGTGGTCCCATCCTGGCTCTGGCCGGTCCCCTCCCAGCTGGGGCACGGGGCCCTGGGCTCTGGTCGCCAGCCACCCACCATGGGCCCCACAGCTGGCCCCAGGGAACGACTCCATCACTACAGGTGATGCGCTCGGTGCCCCACCCCGAGGTAACTCTTCCTGTTTTCCATCCAGGTTGGTTGTCTTGGTACCCATCATCAATGGGGAAATGCAGATGTGGTCCCCCAAAGTGGGGAACCCCCTCAGGAACATCATCATTAACCTGTTTTTAAGCAAACCGCTGTTACCCTGCACTGGTGGGGAGAAAGAGAGGACGACTGAGAATCGCACCCTGCATAGTGCAGACCAGATGTTTCTCTGAGATGTGTATTTGTCCCCCAGCTTGCTGCGAGGGAGCATCAGGCTCTGCTCCTTCGCTTGGCATCGCTTTGCTCATTGTCCCGGCAGCCGTCCCTCACCGGTGAGCCGGCACCCCACTGCCTGCCCAGCGCCAGCATCCACACACAGCCTGCTCTGCAAAGGGCGTCTTCTTAACGCTGTTGGTACGGCGTGTTCAGAGGTCGCTCAGGGGTACAGGAGATTATATGGGAAAGCTGAAATCACCGGACTGAGCTCTGCCAGCTCCCTCCAGCTCCTGGGCTGAAGCCCACCACGTCCCAGGGATCCACGGCCGCGGAGGGCTTGGTCGGCCGCAGTCTGCCGGCACCGGCACCGGCTCCTCAGAGAGCCTTGGCCGTGCTTCAGTTGGGGCTGATCACATCTCCGATTCCTTGCAAATGTCACTCCTCCTCTTCCAAAATTTCTGAAGAACTTACAAATTAATCCCACTGCATAAACAGGCTATTCAGAAAACAGTTCTCAGGTAACTTTGGACAATGCTCAGCACAGCTGGAATTCGCAGAGCCACCCGAAGAATAGATTTCTGCCCTATTAAATTTTGAGAATGAAGATAAAAGACAGATTCAGGTGGCCTGAACCAGGATAAAGCAAGGCAACCTCTTGAAAATTTTCACAAACACCTCTGAAAAGTTGAGGTTTTGGTTCAGGTGAAACAGATGTCTCTCTATACGGTCTAACTGCTCTGCACTGAATTTGACATTAAGTTTTATTGCTCTGATTGAAACAAAAGAGCTGAAAAAGTGAGAATTTCTCGAGAAATTTCTATTTTTTGATGTTCTCAAGACTATTACTGCTAATTCTTTTCAAAAAATGTCACTAAAGCCGATGTTTTACTGAAGCCTTCGGTCTAATCCAAATGGTGCTTTCTAGGAGGCAAGGCAGGGACGCGGGCCCT